GCTCAGGTCATACCAACTAAATCCAGGTTCCCATCACCCCATGACGTAGCCTTCAAGCCCTTTCCCCCTGGAATGATGACATAGCGGTGGGCTTGGCATGCACTACCTGACCCTGGCTGGCAGTGAACCGAGGAGACCACCCAGCTGGGACCCAGGGAGGAGGCAAAGAGGAGACCTGTCAGCAGGGTCTGTTTCTCCTGCCTGGGCTTGTCCTGCACCCAGGGCCAATGTGATCCTAGGGGGTATCTAGAACCCTCCCTTCATCTTCCCTCTAAGAGTCCCCAGAGCTTCAGAAAAGTCCATGCTTAAAGAAAGATTCAATGGAATCATTTTCAAAAAAGAGGATACATACATACATGCATACATACATACAGAAGCAGGAGTGTACAAGCCTGGGCAAGATAGCAAGACCCCACCTCTACCAAAAAGCAAATTAGCCAGGCATGAGGATGCATGCCTGTTGTCCGCTTGAGCCTAGGAGTTCAAGGCTGCAGTGATCTGTGACTGTGCCGCTGCACTCCAGCCTGGGCGACAGAGCAAGATTGTGCCTCTAAAAATAAAAATTTTTAAAAGGAAGTATGACTGTGTGTCTGTGTGTCAGAGCATGCAAATTCGACAGGTGTGTGTATATGAGAGAGAAAAGACCACACACACACACACACATGATGGAAAGAATGAGGACAGTTAAAGGAAGGAGACACACACACACAGACACACACACACACACACACACACCCTCAGCTAGAGTGACACTGAGAAGCCTGGCCCACTGACTGGGGGGGCTCAGTTGTTTGAAGTGGCTTGGGTTGAACCAAATAAACAAATGTCACAGCTCTAGAACTGGCACACCCGGCACCCCATTGAATTTTCATTTTTGTTTTTTTAACAAAACAGGGTCTCACTGTTTCCCAGGCTAGTCTCAAACTCCTGGGCTCAAGTGATCTAATTGCCTTCTCCTCCCAAAGTGCTGGGATTGCAAGGATGAGCCACCAAGTTTCACCTACTGAATTTTCAGAAAAGTGCCATGAGGTCGTTCTTCTAATCCTGTTACATCTGGTGGGGCTAAGGCTCGGGAGGGGAAGCCTGCTGCTCATGGTTACTTGTGACACTTGATGAGTTGCCTGTGAGCCAATTCACCTCAAGCCCAAGCTCTTCTCCCATGCACTGGCATGTCCAGGTTCCTCAGCAGCAAGGACACACGTGGGGCCCCCTCAACTGGGGGGTCTCTTCAGGCCTCTTCACGCCCCACAAGTGCCATGTTCATACATTGGCTCTTTCCTTTGTGTGCATTAATTCATTTGTGTGCATTCATTCGTTCATTGGTGTGTGTATTCATTCATTCCTTTGTGTGTGCATTCATTCACTCATTGCTTTGTGTGTGTAGTCATTCATTGCCCCCTTCCTCCCTCCCTCCCTTTCTTCCTTCCTTCCTGCCTCCCTCCTTCTCTCTGGTGCCTCCTTCCCTCCATTCCTTCCTTTCTTCCCTCCTTCCCTCCCTCCCTCCCTTTCTTCCTCACACACTTTTGACCCCTCAGGGCTATGCTCATTCCATGTGCTTATTGGCTCCCATCTAGGTCATACTGGGTAAGAACAGAGAGAACACTTCTGCCGGGCAGTCGGCTGGGACCTAGTCCAAGGAAGTGAGGTGCAAGTGGGAAAGGACCACCACGCAAGAGCTCAGCAGGGGCTGGAGGTCTGACAAGGCTGGGGGGTGGGAGGAACACATCCTGGGTGCCTTCGTCAGCCTTCCCTCCCCACCCCTACTCATTCACTCAACACCTATCAGGGGCTGCTCGGGGCTTGGCCCCACCTGCCCTCCTCACAGGCCAGGGTGACCAGAGAGAATTATAGGACCAGGCTGGGTGCAGTGGTTCATGCCTATAATCCCAGTACCTTGGGAGGCCAAGGCGGGTGAATCACTTGAGCTCAGGAGTTTGAGACCAGCCTGGCCAAAAAGGTAAAAACCCGTCTCTATTAAAAAGACCAAAAATTAGCTTGGCGCACGTGGTGGTGCCTACCTGTATCCCAGCTACTAGGGAGGCTGAGGCAGGAGAATAACTTGAACCTGGGAGTTGGAGATTGCAGTGAGCTGAGATCATGCCACTGCATTCCAGCCTGAGTGAAAGAGCAAGACTCCAACTTAAAAATAAAAGAGAGGCTGGGCGAGGTGACTCACGCCTGTAATCGCAGCAGTTTGGGAGGCTGAGGCAGGCAGATCACGAGGTGAGCTGCATGAGTCTTTGCATGAGTTCCCTGTTTTATGATTCTGTGTAAAGGCTCTGAGGCCTTTGTCAGGTGTGAGGCCTCTGTGTGAGAACCAAGGAAGGTCTCTGAAATTTGCAGGAGGTCTCTGTGGGACTGAATCAAGTCTCTCAGTGTGGTCTCTGAGGGGTTCTTTGAAGGGGTCTGTGTGAGGACTCTGGGAATCTCAGTGCTGTGTCTCTGTGGGGCACCATTAGGTCTCTGAGAGCTCTGTGGGGTCTCTGTGGAGGCCACAGTGTGTCTCTCTCTGTGGCAGTGAGTGGTCCCGGTGGGCTTTCTGTATGAGGTGTCTCTGTGAGGTTTCTATGGGAGGTCTCTGTGGTCTCCATTGCTGGCCTTGCTGCACCCCATGGGAGACTGAGTAGCGGAGGGGTAAGGGCTTGCTTGTGCCTTTCTATGTTCTTGTTGGTCAGCCAGCGTTTCCTGTGGTGCTTCTCCTGGCCTGAGCCATGGGGTCCACATCCAGCTCCTCACCTATCAGTTTCCTGAGGGAACCAAGCAGCAGCCAGGCATGGCCCATCCTCAGCAGTCAGGGTCCCAGCTCTGTGACTCTCTCTCCAGAGCTCCCCAGGGGGACTGGAGATGATATTTGCTCCAGGTCCCAGCCCCTCCTGCTGGTCCTGGCTCTGCTGTCACTGATGGGTCCACCTTGGAAGCTGCCTTAGTCAGTCATCTGGGCCTGAGACAGACCCGGCCCTAGGACAGGCCACATGCTGGGGACTGTTGCTTACTGCCTCATCACCCCAAGTGCCAACCAGTCCCACATGCTGGGGGCAGGACCATTTCCATTGTCATCTAAGTCAGTGGCCCCACCTGGCATGGTCCTCTCCACCATGGAAACGAGGCCCCCGGAACTGGGCCTCCTGCACGCCTGTATGTGCACAAGGCACAGAAACTTCCTCCAAAGACCTCACACTCCTCTCCCTGATTTGTGGGGACCTCCTGCTTTCCCATAGGGAGAGGGCCCAGAGAGGAGGAAGCTGTGCTGAAAGCAGAGGGAGACAGAGCAGGGACGGCTCCTGCCCTGCCCACCCCTGCCCATTCTGGACAGGTCACTTCCAGCTGCCTTGTGTGATCAAATTCTGCCTACCTGCCTGCCTCTTCCCCTGCTGGTCTGTGGGGCAAGAAAGGACCTCAGGAGCCGGGGGAGATTTGCTGTGTGACCCCAGCTCAGCTGCTGGGGTCTTTCTAAGTCACCATCTCTCCCCTGGGGGCAGTCCTGGGACTATATGTATATTAAAGGCCACCAGACTCCCGAGTCTTGCCTGGGGTTCTCTAGTCCTTGCTTTTTCACCTATGGTCAACACATCCTTTTAAAAATTCAATAGGTAGGCCAGGTGCAGTGGCTCATGCCTGTAATCCTAGCACTTTGGGAGGCCAAGGCTGGTAGATAACCGGAGGTCAGGAGTTTAAGACCAGCCTGGCCAACATGGCAAAACCCCATCTCTATTAAAAATGTAAAAAATTAGCCAGGTGTGGTGGGTGCCTATAAGCTCAGCTACTTGGGAAACTGAGGCAGGAGAATCACTTGAACCCAGGGGCTGGAGCTTGCAGTGAGCTGAGATTATATCACTGACTCCAGCCTGGGCAAGAGAGTGTAACTGTCTCAAAAAAAAAAAAATTCAGTAGGTTACTACGTGCAAGCTTATTAAAGATGTTAAGAAATTCATCTTCCCTTACTCACTTTGCCTTCTCACTGGTCTGGCCCTCCGTGTTGGGGCTAAATGCGTTTTTAGGTCTGTGGTCTGGGAGCTGGAGCAGAGACAGACCCCGGGGTGGGGCCAGGATGAGCCATAGGCCCCTCTATGCCTGTGGAAGGGGTTGGAATGTCAGAGGCTCCCAGGTCGTGGCACCGCTTACCATGGAGATTTCACACCACTTTGCCTCCTTTTCAATTCTTTGTCTGCATCCCGCAGTAGTTGTACAGAGTCCCACCATCGGAAGCCTCTGCACACACAGACATGCCCTGCCCCATTCACCCAGAACTACTTCTCTGAAGCTGAGACACACATAGGTGAGACAGACAAAGGCAGGTGACCCAGGAGCAGGGTCATTCACTCATTTTGGGCAGGGGATCTCACAGTCCTCAGCAGCCTCTGTGAAGGCCTCCCCCCACTCCCCACTTTTACATCCACAGTGCTAGAAGGTCTGTCCTCACCCCCACTCCAGAGTGCAAGAAAGGGAGAGGCAAGTGGGATGGGGACTCTGTGCTTTGTATGTAGGCTGAGCTAAGAGGGCCCATCTCCATCTCAGCCTTTGAGAGGGAGAGAAGGGGCTTCCCAAGGGCAGGCATTATCTACTCTCCCCCAGGATATCCAGGGTCAAGACTTCCCTGGCTTCTGAACTCAGGGCCCACACTCTCCCACCCGAGCTTCCACTATTTTGTGACACATGAAGCTACTTGACCGTGGCAGTTCCTGGAGCCTGCATGGAGATATTCAGTCCTTTGACATCTCTGCAAACCTTCTTCCTACAGCTGCATAAAGTTTGAGGTAGAGAGTAAGTAGTAGAAAGATGGGTTGAACCATATCTCTGAGTGGGATCTTCGTAGGTGTTCTCCTCTTGTTTTTAGAATTTTTTGTTGTTTGTGAAAAGACAGTATTATGGAAACCTAAGTTTCAGTGAAGGAACTCAGGATGAAGGTGGGCTTACAACACCACTCTCAGAATCCCTCCATGTCCTGTCACTTCTAGAAAACAAGCCCACACCAAGCACGACACAAATAAAAGCCATCATCCTTTTATGGGGGGAAAAAAAAGGAGATATTTATTTTGGAACATTAAATGTTGTGTCTTCAGTCTGCCCTGAGGGGCGCTGACTGGGGAGACAGCCTTCTGGGGGAGCAAGAGTTGGGGCTATCCTGGCCCCGTTGCTCATTGTTGCGCTGGACACTTTTCAAGGACTGTTGATCTCTGATATGCTTCTCTCTGTTGGAGTAACTCTGGCTCTTGAGAGTGGCTTATTGACTGCTGGCCCCTTCACCGCCCCACACCCAGACCCCTTAATTCTCCTATGCCCCTCCACTGCCCCACACCCAGACCCCCCAATTCCCCTATGCCCCTCCACTGCCCCACACCCTGACTCACCAATTCCCCTATGCCCCTCCACTGCCCCACACCCTGACTCCCCAATTCTCCTTCTATGCCCCTCTACCACCCCACACCCTGACTCCCCAATTCTCCTCCTATGCCCCTCCACTGCCCCACACCCAGACTCCCCAATTTTCCTCCTATGCCCCTCCACCACCGCACACCCAGACTCCCCAATTCTCCTCCTATGCCCCTCCACCGCGCTTCACCCAGACTCCCCAATTCTTCTCCTACCCCTTGATCCAGGGTTTTACTCCCATCCTTTGTCCCCCTGGTCTCCCCATCCCAGGTCAGCTCCAGGCTGCCATAAGGCCCTGGGGTGGAATCCCAGCCCGGTAAGAAGGATGTAGGGAAGGGGAAGTGCCTCACCGCTGCAGTTGTGAAAGCAAGTCCAGAGTCTCCTCCAGGCCTGTCAGGCTGTCTCTAGAAGCTGGAAATCAGGAGACCGGATTAGGGCAGTGAGGGAGGGGCCTGGGATCTCACAGGAGGCAGAGTGGATGATTCTTTAGGGAAGACCATGGGGAGTCAGACCCTGGAAACCACATGTCTGTGTCCAAGGCCACATGGCCTGGATGGTGGTAGCGAGGCACAGAGGGCAAAGCTTTGTTGTCCACAAAGGGCTTCCACACACAGACCCCCCCATCCCCATAGTTCTCACAGCTGCCCTGTGGGGAGAAAGGACTGGGGTGGTCTCAAAGAGGAATCAGCCTTAGCAGAGTTGAACAGCTGTCCATAGCCCCCTCACCCCCCTCCTGATTCAGACAGGCATTGGTCTCCTCCCCCTACACTGTGCCCTGCTGGGGAACACCCAGTCCTTGGCCCACCATGGTTTCATGCCAGCACAAAATCTGAGAGGGACCCGGGGTTCTGATTTCCTTCCTAGGAGCCCCCACCTCAGTCTTCTTCAATTGACTTCCTCAGAGTCGCTTCTCTCCGGGCACAGGCAAGATCAAATGAACTCTAGTGTGCCCCAGCAGAGCCTTACCTTTCAGACTGTAGTTTTTCTTCCTGCCTTTGGGCCTTCCCCTCCGCTGACCTTGACACTGGGAGATAAGTTGACACTGGGACAGAAGATGATCCTGGAACAGAAGATGACCCTGGGAGACAAGAAAGGGTGAGGGGCTGAGACCAGCTCTCTCTCTTTGCCCCCAGTCCAGCCAGCCGCGGTGCTCACGAACTGCACAGCTCTCTCATCTTGCTCAGGGAGCAGTGTGCTTCCTCCCAGTCATGTTTAAGTGGATGATAAACTGCTTTTCTTCTTAGAAAAACGGGAAGAGGGGGCCAGACGCAGTGGTTCACACCTGTAATCCGAGCGTTTGGGGAAGCCAAGAAGGGTGGATCACCTGAGATCAGAAGTTTGAGACCAGCCTCACCAGCATAGTGAATCCCTGTCTCTACTAAAAATAACAAACGTGCCTGTGATCTCAGCTACTCCGGAGGCTGAGGCAGGAGAACTGCTTGAACCTGGGAAGCAGAGGCTGCAGTGAGCCGAGATCGCCATTGCACTCCAGCCAGGGCGACAAGAGTGAGACTGAATCTCAAAAAACAAACAAACAATAAAACCACCACAAAGAGAGATTTACTACATGAGGAAATTATATATATATATATATACACATATATATAAAATAATATAAGTAATGGTAGAGGTGCTCCTCTACTGGACGAACAATCAGGCTCAGGCTCTCGGGCACACCTGAGCTGTCAGGTAGGATTCTGCTTCTCAGGAGATCAGAGGAGACTCCAGGCCCAGGTGGGAGGCCCTCAGAGGCTCAGCACAGCCCCCAGATTACCCCACACAGATGAGGCTGGGCCCCCAGCCACCTGCCCCAGGAAGGGGCTTATGAGTACCCTCCCACAGAGACCTTTCCCATGTCCTGACTGGTCCTCTTCACTGAGTCCAGGGGTTTGGTTTTGCCTTGATGCCTCCTGTGCTTCCCCCACAGATGGACTTAGAGCTTGGGATGGAAATACCAGTCCCTAACAACAAACCCTGGCTGCTCTGCCTCTCCCTGGAAGGACCATGTTCTGGTCTCTCCTGACACATCCCATTGCGGAAGTCTCTCCACTGGATTTGGAAAAGTAGAGCTAATAATAGAAAGAAAGGAGAGAATTGTGCTGTGTGGGTCCGGCCTGAGGGCTCCTTACCATTCTCTTCTCCCCAGGTGATGGTGAGAGTGGATCATGATGGAAGTAAGAGAGGTAGGGGGCTAATAGGAAATATAACCCCACAGCAAATACCAGGGTGAGGAAGATACCCAACACCCATGGTGTGGAGCTGGGGGTGTTTTTCCAGGAATCGCACAGCAATTTTAGAGGAAACGGAATATTCGCCATTTGAATAGGTATGCTGCCTTCAAGCAACTGAGCTCTGGGCATTCCCTTGCAGACTAGGGACTGGGGCCTAGGCCTGCATCACAGAGCTGGGGCCTTCACATCACAAAGGGCCCTTGATGGGGGAGGGACAGTGGTGGGGGAGGCTGAAGCACTGCCCCTCCCCACCCCGCAAGCCCGGGATCCCTCCAGCCTCCCACCTTCCAGATTCCTCCTTCCCACTAAGTTTTGTCAGTGATAGAACTCAGCCAATTTTCTGTTCTTTCTCCCTGGAACACAGATATTATCCATTTCCTTTTATCTGTTGGAGACAGTGGTATAAGGTTATCTATTTTATAATCCTTGAAAATCTGAAGTCGACTCTGAAACTTTGACTATGTACCAGGGATTTTTATTCTCAGAATCTCATTCGTCCTCAACTCCAGCTTTCCCACACAATGTTTTTGTCTCATATCAATCCAGGGACAAAATGTAAATTTGTTTTATTCTTACTTAGTTTGGTAAATTTTGAATAGTAAAGTTTTTTTTTAAAACATTACTTCCATTTCACTTTCAATCAAAGGGACCTACCCACATACAATTAAGATAATTTTTAAAAATTTTATTTGTGTGTTTATTTTCTTTATGGTTCTGGGGTACATGTGCGGGACAGGCAGTTTTCTTACACAGGTCAATGTGTACCATGGTAGTTTGCTGCATCTGTCATCCCATCACCTAGGTACTAAACTCAGCATGCATTAGCCATTTTTCCTGATGCTCTCCCTACTGCTGCCCTCCCCCAACAAGTACAGTGTGTGTTGTTCTTCTCCCTGTGTCCACATGGTCTCGTTCAGCTCCCACTTATAAGTGAGAACATGTAGTATTTGCTTTTCTGTCCCTGTGTTAGTTTGCTGAGGATAGTGGCTTCCAGCTTCATCTACATATCTGAGAAAGACATGATCTCATTCATTTTCATGGCTGTATGGTATTCCATGGTGTATATATACCACATTTTCTTTATCCAGTATACCATTGGTAAGCATTTGGGTTGATTTCATGTCTTTGCTGTTGTGAACAGTGCTGCAATGAACATACACGTGCATGTATTTTTTTTAGAATGATTTATATTCCTTTGGATATATAATAATGATGTAAACACCATTATATATAATAATATGTAATATATATAATGTAATATATAATATATATTATAGCTGATTAATATATTCTAGCTAATGCATGTATAGTATATATTATATGCTATACTATAGTATATATTATATGCAATATATACTATACATGTATAGTATATATTATATGCAATATATACTATACATATTATATGCTATACTATAGTATATATTATATGCAATATATACTATACATGCATTAGCTAGAATAATATGTAATATATATGTTATATATGCATTAGCTAGAATATAATAGTGTAATATACATTAATATATGATTATGTTACATATAAAATATATAATAAAATATATTTTATTATATATTTTATATGTAACATAATCATATATTAATGTAACATAATTATATATATGTAACATTATTATATATATAATTATATATCACATAATTATATGTGTAACATAATTATATATATAATTATATAATTATATAATAATATATATAATATAATGGCATAAATACCATTATACACAGTAATGAGATTTCTGGGTCAAATGGTATTTTTGGTTCTAAATCTTTGAGGAATTGTCACACTGTCACAGTGCTGTACTAATTTACATATCCACCAATGGTGTAAAAGCATTTTTGTTTCTCCAAAACCTTAACAGTATTCATCATTTCTTGACTTTTTAATAATTGCCATTCTGGCTGGTGTGAAATGGTACCTCATTGTGGTTTGGATTCGCATTTCTCTAATCATCAGTGATGCTGAGCTTTTTAAAATATATTTGTTAGCTGCATGTATATCTGTGTGTGTGTATGTGTGTGAGAGAGAGAGAGAGAAAGATGGAGTCTTGCTGTGTTGCCCAGGCCAAAGTGCAGTGGTGAGATCTTGGCTCACTGCAACCTCTGCCTCTTGGGTTCAAGCAATTTTTCTGCGTCAGCCTCCTGAGTAGCTAGGATTACACATATCTGCCACCATGCCTAGCTAATTTTTGTTTATTTGAGACTGAGTCTTGCTCTGTCATGAAGCTGGAGTACAGTGGCACAATCTTGGCTCACTGCACCCTCGGCCACCCAGGTTCAAGTGATTAATCTGCCCCAGCTTCCTGAGTAGCTGAGACTACAGGTGTGGGCCACCATGCTCAGCTATTTTTTTTTTTTTTATTTTAGTAAAGACAGGGTTTCACCATGTTGACCAGGATGGCCTTGATTTGACTTCATGATCTGCTCGCCATGGCCTCATGATCTGTTCACCATGGCCTCCCAAAGTGCTGGAATTACAGGCATAAGCCACCATGCTCAGCTTAATTTTTATATTTTCAGTAGAGATTCTGTTTCACCATGTTGGCAAGGCAGGTCTTAAACTCCTGACCTTAAGTGATTCATCTACCTTGACCTCCCAAAGTGCTGGAACTACAGGCATGAACCACTGCACCTGGCCTCTTTTTTGAGAAGTGTCTGTTCATGCCCTTTGCCGTCTTTTAATGGTGTTGCTTTTTTCTTATAAATTTGCTTAAGTTCCTTGTAGATTCTGGATTTTAGACCTTTGTCAGATAGATAGATTGCAAAAATTTTCTCCCATTCTGTAGGTTGTCTCTTTGCTCTGATGACAGCTTCTTTTGCTGTGCAGAAGCTTCTTAGTTTAATTTGATCCCATTTGTCAGTTGTTGCTTTTGTTGCAATTGCTTCTGGTACTTTCATCATAAAATCTTTGCCCATGTCTGTGTCCTGAATGGTATTGCCTAGATTTTCTTTTTAGCATTTTTATAGTTTTGGGTTTTAATTTAAGTATAATTCATCTTGAGTTAATTTTTCTGTAAAGTGTAAGGAAGGGGTCCTTCCTCCCAGCACCATTTATTAAATAGAGAATTTTTTCCCCATTGCTTATTTTTATCAGGTTTGTTAAAGATCAGATGGTTGTAAATGTGTGGGCTTTTTTCTGAGTTCTCTGTTACGTTCCATTGGTCTGTGTGCCTGATTTTGTACCCATATTATGCTGTTTTGGTTAGGCTTGTAGTATAGTTTGAAGTAGGGTAACATGATGCCTTTAGTTTTGTTCTTTTTGCTTAGGACTGTCCTGGTTATACAAGCTTTTTTTTTTTTTTTTTTTTTTTTTTTTTGTTTTGTATGACTTTTAAAATAGTTCTTTCAAATTCTGTGAATAATGACAATGGTAGCTTGATGGGGATAGTATTGAATCTATAAATTACTTTGGGCAGAATGGCCATTTTCACGATCTTGATTCTTCCTATCCATGAGCATGACATGTTTTTCCATCTGTTTATGTCCTTCCTGATTTCCTTGAGCAGTGGTTTGTAGCCCTCCTTGAAGAGGTCCTTCATGTTTATTGTAAGCTGTCTTCCTAGGTATTTTATTCTTTTTGTGGCAATTGTAAATGGGAGTTCATTCGTGATTTTGGTCTCTGTTTATCTGTTGTTGTAGGAATGCCTGTAATTTTTGTACATTGATTTTGTATCCTGAGACTTTGCTGAAGTTGCTTATCAGTTTAAGAAGCTTTTGGGCTGAATTGATGGGGTTTTCTAGATATAGGATCATGTCATCTTTAAAGAAATTCAATTCGACTTCCTTTCTTCCTATTTGAATATCCTTTCTTTCTTTCTTCTGCCTGATTTCCCTGGCCAGAACTTTCAATACTATGTTGAGTAAGAGTGATGAGAGAAGGCATTCTTTTCTTGTGCCAGTTTTCAAAGGGAACGCTTCCAGCTTTTGACCATTCAGTATGATATTGGCTGGGGCTTTGTCATAAATGGCTTATTATTTTGAGGTATGTTCCTTAAATGACCATTTTAATGAGAGTTTTTAAAATAAAGGGCTGTTGAATTTATTCAAAGGCCTTTTCTGCATCTATTGAGATAATACATGTTTTTTTGTCTTTAGTTCTGTTTATGTGATGAATTACATTTATTGGTTTGCATATATTGGATCAGCCTTGCACGGTGGGGATTAAGCTGACCTGATCATGGTGGATAGGCTTTTTGGATTCGGTTTGCCATTATTTTATTGAGGATTTTTGCATCGATGTTCATGAGGGATATTGACCTGAAGTTTTCTTTTTTTTTTGATCTTTTACAGGTTTTGGTATCAGGATGATGCAGGCCTCATAAAGTGGATTAGGGAGAAGTCCCTCTTTTTCAATTGTTTGGAATAGTTTCAGAAGAAAAAGTACCAGCTTTTATTTGTACCTCTGGTAGAATTCAACTGTAAATCCTCGTTTTTTTTTTTTTTGTTTTTGTTTTGGTTGGTAGGCTATTTACTACTGCCTCCATTTCAGAACTTGTAATTGGCCTGGTCAGGGATGCAACTTCTTCCTGGTTCAGTCTTGGGAGGGTGTATGTGTCCAGGAACTTATCCATTTCTTCTAGATGTTCTAGTTTATTTGGATAGAGGTGTTTATAGTATTCTCTGATGGTAGTTTGTATTTCTGTGGGGTCAGTGGTGGTATCCCCCTTATCATTTCTGATTGTTTATTTGAATCTTCTCTCTTGTTTTCTTTATCAGTCTAGCTAGTGGTCTATCTTACTGATTTTTTCAAAAAAACAGCCCTTAGATTTGTTGATTTTTAAAGGAGTTTTTCATGTGTCTATCTTCTTCAGTTCTGTTCTGAGTTTGGTTATTTCTTGTCTTCTGCTAGCTCTGGGGTTTGTTCGCT